CCAAATACCTATTCTTTAAATAAAATTATTTTATCTAATAAATCTATTATATTTGATTTTCTAATTTAATTAAATTGTCTTAAAGTATTATTCATAAAATATTTTACAAGGAATTGTAAATATTTTGTATTTTATTTTATCCCACTTACAAATATAATGTATATTGATTGTTAAATTTATAAACAATTTTTTTTGTTAATTTTTATCTTAATTTAAATAATTTAGCTATTTTTCGACTTTTTGATTTATAATTAATTAAATGATATTTAAAAGTTTAATAAGCATTTATATATATAATTTATTATTTTCAATATTGAATTTTTAATATTTTTTTCATAGTTTATGCTTTTGTTAATTTTAAAATTTAATCTTATATTTTAAATTTTTTAATTTAATTATATTATATAAAATTTTAAAATTAAAGATACTTTATTTATAAAAGAAAATAAATCATAAAAAGATTTGAATTATATATAAGACAAAATATAATATAATTAATAGCTCCCCTTAAAGACCATATTTAAACTCAATTGAAAATGTCTAAGCTTTTTTCAAATACGAGTTCAAATATTATTTAATAGAAATCGATAATAAAGTAAAAGTTTTAAAATAAAAAAAATATTTGTTTAGCGAGTATTTTATTCAAAACTTAAGTATTAAACAAAAAATTGGTTTTACTGAATATCAAATAATTAGGATAAAAAGATAATAAACTATTTTTTTTTAAAAAAAAAAGATAAATAATTATTGAATAAATAGATATTTTTTTTAATTTATTATAAAAATTTGTAAATAATTTTGCTTTAAAATGAAAAGTATTCATTAAAATTTAAATTTAATAAAAATTATGAATCTTGATTGAAAAAAAAATTAAAATATTATAAATTCAATTGTTTATGAAGAATTTTAAATAAAATATGACCTAATAAATAAAATACAAAAAAAAATAAAAACAATACATAAAAATTAATAAATTATTAAGAACTTTACAAATAATTATAACAAATAAATAACAATGAAGTCCAATAATATATTAAAGAAATTAAATTAAGTAAAGAAGTAATTAAAGCTTTAATTGAAAAATAAATTAATTTAATCGTGTAAATTTTTGAATAATAAGTAAAAAAATTAAATTATTAATTAAATATTAATATATCAAAAATAAAAATATTAAAATAATAAGTTTAGATATTTATAAAAATATATATATACATTATTATTATTTTTTATAAAATTTCATGAAATATGAAATCATATAGTAATTATTAAAATTATTTCAGATAATTTTTAAAAAGTTTAAAAAAGATTAAATTTATATAACATATAATATATAGAAAAAATTAATCTATTAAATAAAAAAAATATTTTTTGGTTAACAAAAAAAAAAAAAATTTATTATAAATTAAAAACATTATTTTAAATTTATTGAAAATACAATTCTTTTTACATTTTTTTACATAATATTTATCAAAAATTAAAATATTTTTAATAATTGAAAAATAACTAATATATAATAATAATTATATTATGTCTATTTTATTTATTTATTAAAAATAAAATTATATCACTTATTATTATTATTATATCATAAACATATATAATAGTTATACAATCAACCATTTAAATTTATTTCTGGTATATCAAAATCATCATTATGTTATTTTTCACTCTCTTTTTCTATTTTTAAATTTTCTTTTATTTCTTATAAAGACTTGCATTTTCTATTAAAGTCATCGCCTTAGTCTTTTTAAATTAATTATTGAGATTCTTCATTTTTATGATCCTCATTTTTTTCGTTTTATTAATTTTACATTTCAATACAAATTTATTATTTTTCTTCTGTTTTATTTAATTTGTTTGCCATATCATATTTATATTTAATAACTTCAATATTATAAAAGTAATTTTTCCAAAATTGTTAATCGCTTATTCTTTTTTATTTTAAATTAATTTATAATTATATATTAAATGTGGAAAAAAAATACTTTTTTGGTACTAATTTAGCTCTCATTTTATCTAAATTATTGTCTACTTTTAGAATTTTAATTGCTTAATATTGATATTCTTTTAAATTAAATTCAAATTAGTGCATATAATTTAATTCATCAATTAAGAAATATTATTCGTTCTTTAATTAATATTATATTTTTTAATAATATTTTTCTTTACTAATGATAAGTCTAAAATTTCTTCTCTTATAACATCAACTAGACTTCCATTTTAATCTGATTTTATTGCTTTTAAACATTCCCAGGGTAGTAAAGCGTTTTATTCTTCTATATAATAAAAAAGAAAATTATAAATACAAAAAAATACTATATATTAAATTTACTAAATTATTCTTCCTAATTATTTTAAATTAGTAAATTTTATTCTGTATATACTTCCTTTAATTCACTTGCTAAATTAGATATTAAGCTTTTTGATTTTTCAGTGATTTCTTAAGAAATTTCTTTAAATTTATTAAAAAAGTTCATTTTATTTTATAAAAATTTAAATTATATTTAAAATAAATGATATATTTTTTGAAAATAATATTTTTAATTAATTATTTATAAAATAATTCTATATTTTTTATTAATATTTCTAATTTTAAATTTGATTATTTATAATTTATAAAAAATATATACATATATTAATTAAAAATAATAAAAGCAAATAATAAATTTCAAATAATTATAAAAAAATATCATTCATCAATCAATCATAAAAAAAAAGACGACAAAATAATGAACAACACAAATGAAAGCAGTAATTTAACATCAAGTATATCAAATTCACAAAGAATAAAACATAAAATAATATTTCTTGGCGATTAATATGTAGGTAAAACATGCATAATAGAAAGATTTATGTATGATGTATTTGATGAAAAGTCGCATGTAAAAGCAATTTTTTTATTTATTTGATAAATTTATCAAAATAGCCAACTGTAGGTGTAGATTTTTTAGCAAAGTCTATAAAGTTAGATGATAAAAATATCAGATTATAATTATGGGATACAGCTGGTTAAGAAAGATTTAGAAGTTTAATACCTAGTTATTTAAGAGATGCTACATGTGCAATTATAGTTTTTGATGTTACAAGTATATTTTAATTTTATTATTAATATTTAAAGCATTATAGTGATATTTTTTTATAAAAAAAAAAAAAAGATAAAGAAAGTTTTAATAATATTGAAAGATGGTTAAAAGACTATAGAGATAATAGAGGAAACGATGCTTCTTGTGTTTTAATTGGAAATAAAATAGATATGAAATAAAGTAAATTTTATTTAAATTTTCTATTTCAGTTATAATCTTTGTTAAAAAGTCAGAGAAATTTCTTAATAACAAGCTGAAGAAAAAGGCAAAATGTTAAACATGTTATACTTTGATATTTCAGCAAAAACAGGAGAAAATGTTTAGAATATGTTCTTAACTATGGCAAAATCACTTATACCAATTGAAAATAATAATATTTTAAAACGAGAAGAAATTAATGAAAGTATTTAAATTATTATATTATACAAAAAATTATAAATTTATATAATTAACAAAAATTTAATTTAAATATAATAATAAATATTTTTAGATCAAGCAAATATAGAATAATAATAAACAGCTTAACAAGCTAATCAAAATTCACAATAGAATTAGAATGTATAACAGTAAAAAAATATTAAACTTGTTGAGTAAAAGTAATAATAGAATTAATAATAAAACTAAAGAAAAGGTTGTTGCTGAAAAATAAACAAAGAATTTAAATATAATAATATAACAAAAACTTATTTGTTTTTGTTTTATAAATGTATTTATAGCAATTATTTACTTTTATTTATCAAATTAATTAATTTATTTAGTATTATATTTTATGAAACTTGTTTTTTTAAAATAATATTTCAATTTATTTTAAATAAAAATTTAATTATAGTGATATAATAACTAATATATTAATTTTATTATATTCTTGCTTTATTGGGCTTATTTATATTTTATTTTTTAAAATTTAATTTATATTAATAATTATTTTATTTTAAATGAGTTTTTGTTTAAGATTTTAAAATACATTTATTTTCTTATTTATTTACCAAATAAATTATTACTTGCTTATATATATTAACTTATTTTGAATATTAAAAGCTAAAATTAATAAAATATCTTTAATTCTAATTAAACAAGAAAAAATAAATATGAAATAAATTAAATAATTATTTTGCTAAAAAAATAATTCAGTAACTTAGGCAATATAATAACTAAAATAAAGTTTTGATGAAAAAATAGTATAAGATTTAATATATATTTTCGATAAAAATGTATATAAGAATTCTTAAAAAGATTAATAATTAAAAGAATTATCAGAAATTATTATTTAAAATATAGATAAGATTTAAAATGCGTATATATCTAATTAAATATTTAGAAAATATTGTTGCAATAAATGGCCCTAAATAGATTGTTTCTAAAAAATGATAATTTAATTCTCAATAAATAGATTTAAAAATAATTATACTGAATTTGATGATGGCCATAATCTATATTATTTTACTAAATTAGGAACATAATATAATATGCTTAATTAAAATTTACTTAATGAAATAAGTGAAATATATATAAAATAACAAAAAAGATTTAGTACATTTTTCGGAGTTAAAAGTTTGTTAATTTTTGCATAATAAAATACTATTAAAGCATATGAACCATTGATAAACAACTTATAAAAATTATATCAATTTATTGATATTAATTAATTAGCAATTTTATGTGAAGTATGTAATCTTATTTAATCTAGAAATAATTTCAACATAACTACATTATAATAAATAATTCATTTAGTTATGAATGAAATTCCAAAAAAGGAAACTAATATTTTATAATATACATAAATAGAAAGTATATAAATTATAAAAGAATATATATAATTAAATAAAATTAATAATAAAAATTTGTAAGAATATTTAGATGATGCTCTTTAAAAAATACCAAAAAATATAGTTGAAAAAAAAAATAATGAAGAAGAGGATTTTCTTTAATGAAATAAAAAATTAAATATTTGTATATTTTTATTCCAAAAATTAATATTAATTAAATGATTTTATATTTTTATCTTAAAATATTTAAATACAAATACATTCTCATAATAAATAAATTTTAATTATTAATTTTATTTGAATTTAAATATTAAAATATCTTGCTTAACAGCTATTTTTAAAAAATTATAAACTTATATTTAAATTTATTATATGTATTACCTTTTCAAATTGTTTTTTCAACTATTTTTTTATAAAAAACCGAATAAAAAATGTATTTACTAATTTAATTTAAAGATTTTTTATAATTTTAGTAATATAATATTATTATTTTTAATTTAAAAAATGATTATTTAATACCTTTTTTGTTTATGTACTTTTTTTATAAAAATAAAGAAATATAAAAAAATAATATAAATTTTAAATATATATTATATTCAATATATAAATTACTTTTATTCTATAATTTTAAAAGCTTATATACTGTATGTAAATATTTTATTTTTTTCTACTTTGTAATAATTAAAAAGTAATGAATTATATATTTTTCGAAATACAATAAGAATTTATAATAAAGTTTAAACTTTAAATAAATATCTATTAATTTTTAATTTTAGAATTTTTATATTATTTAGAAAAGATTTTTGAGAGGTTTATAAAATTTAATTTTTCATATATTCTTTTTTAGATGAGATTTATTTAATAAATATATAATAATTATAATTAATTTAAATAATTTATACTTATGTACTAATTATACTCATAATAATTTAAAAATATCTTTTATTTTGATAATAAAAATTTATTTTTAAAAGTTTAAAAATAAAATATTTCATTGATAATTTAGTTTATTTTATTAATTATAAATATTTATATTAAACAATTAAATTTATTTTTCTTTAAAAAAAAAAAAGTTCGCATATTATAGAAATATATGATATTTACAAAATATTTTAATTTTTCGACTTTTTAGGTAAATATTAAAAATATGTTAATAAAGTAATTATTAATTACAAAATAAGGCGCTAATTTCATAATTTTTTATTTTATAATTTATTTTCGAAAATAAAATTAATTAAGTTTATCTAGAATATTTTCCATTTAAGTATTTATAAAAAAAAAATATTAAAGCCGAAATTCTCAATTATAATTAATTATTCATAAAGTTACATTATGTTTTGATTTTTAAAATTATATGTGTATAAAATTAAAATTATTTTTAATATTCAAGCTTATATTGTTTAAAAATAAATAAAAATTAATATATTTAAGATTCATAATTATTTATATTGATTAATTGTATAGTTTTTTTATTATATTATTTTATAATATATATTAATTATATTTAAAATTAGCAAAGAATCTAAATAAATTTTTTTTAATTAATAAATAATAATTATAAAAAAGTTGATAATGAAAGTAATACAAACTAAATCTTTAAAATCTAAACATTAATTTTTGATAGAAAAAGGTTGCGAAAAGCATTTATTTGACAAAAATTATATAATAAAAGACATAAACATTACAGATTACACAATCTAAAAGTCAATTTATAACCTTAACAAAGTTCCTATTCCTATACAAAATTAAGACACAATATTAATTAATGATTTATTTGATTAAATTGAACAAAATTATTAATTGCCTATAAAATAGGCATTTCTAATATAGATATACGATCCCATTGAATCTAAATATGTTGAAATAACTTAATTACGTACAATAAATTTGAGTAACTATTCTTAGGATAAAGTGCTTTATTTAACTATTGGATAAATATCCACAAGCTTGGAAAAGCAAAGGCCCAGGGAAAAACGAGTAAAAGAAAGATAAATATAATACGTTAAAGAAAAAGTCGACGAATGGAGAAAATTATATTAAAATGGTTACACTAATCAAAATGGAGAAAACCTGAAATTAAATCTTGATTTAGCAGCTTCTATGGTTGGATTGTCTAGAAAAACTTTAGATGATTATTTCTCTTAAATTAAAAAAGCTGAAAAATATGGATTTGATTTTTAGCTTAATAAAGAAGAAAAAATGGGTACTTTACGAAAATATGTGAAATAATATAATCATAAAAATAACGTAATGGATAGTAATACTTAAGATATGTAGCAAAGCAATAATTTAGAAAGTATTGATATAAAGGATGAATTTAATCATGAATTAAATGAAGAATCTTTCTAAAATTACTTTGCTAAAGAAAGTGAATAATAGAAGCAAATGAATTTTTATCAAGATTAAACGCTTTGAATTTGTTCTATCTAATTTTTTACTTTTATTTTGTTTATTTAATAATAATTCATGTGTGTTTTTATTTATATTTGTATAATTTTTTTTTGTATTTTTTATATTTTAAAAAAAAGTATATAAAATGATATTTACTTTTTTTTTAAAATAAATAATGCGTTTTTATTATTTTAAGAATATATAAAATATTTAAATAAGGAATTAATTAATATGCATACTAACCATCAGTGTAATAACCTAAATATTCATTTTTAATAATTTTTTTCTTTTAATAATGTAAAATATGTTAGTTACTTTTGCATTATAATAAATAATAATTTTCCTGTATTTTTTTTATTTAAATATAATAATTTTTTTTAATGAGTATTATAAATACAATTAAATTATACTTTTTAATTAATATTTTATATTATTTATTTATCCTAATTAGTTTAATATTGGTTTGGTTAATTATTTTTAATATTAATTTTTGAGAAAACTTTTATAAAATTTACAATGCTATATATTTTAAAAATTTTCATATAATAAAGTTTAAATATCATTAAAAAAAAATTAAATTAATTTTATTTTTTTTATGTCAATTAATTAAAAAAATATTTAGAAATTAAAAATAATAAATATTAATTTTCGATCATTAGATAGGATAATGAGTGAATTTAAGAATAGAATGTATAAAGATAGTCTGTCTTATCTAATTCCCAAGACTGAATCAAAATTTATAAAAATTGTATTGCTTACATTTAATTTGAAATATTTTAAACTAACCAAATAAATTAAAATAATATTTTTTGTTTTGAATTTAAATATATCTATATATATTTTAATTAAAAATAAATTTAGTTTATATTCATTAATAAAATAGTACTTTTTTAAAAGATATTTTATACAAATAAATTTAAGTATAGCAAAAATAAAATGGAAGTTAGTTTACCCTTTTATTAATATTATCAAAAAAATGAATTAAACTCTTTAAAAAAGCAATCAATTTAGCAACTAAATATAAAATAAAAACTTCATGAAACTAAAGCTCGTTTTATTCTAAAACCATTTATATTTTTATCTAAATAGGGTTAAAATAAAATGTTAGATTTACAAAAAAAATTCTTAATTAATAATTTGAATTTAAAAAAATAAATTAAAAAAAATAAATTCCATAGCAAACGTATAATATTATAGGAAGTAATAATCTTTTTATTTAAACAAATATAAAAATACCATTAAAACAAAATATTTATTTGTTTTTTGATTCTGGGTTAGTAACAAATAAAGAGCTTCCTTCATTTTATTTTATGCCTTATCTTTAATATTTTTACGGTACCAATACATTAATAAAGTTTGGCTACTATAAAAGCAAAAACGATTTTTATAATATAAATATAACAAGATAAATTTATAAAAATATGTAAATTTAAAAAATATAATATTTTTAATATTTTTTAGATATTTCGGATTTGATTACTCTAA